AATAACTGATCGTGTGTTTGCCTTTTTCTTCTGAATCCCGACTGGTTGGCACAGATTAATTTCTTTTTTTTTTCAATGATGTGGATGAGTCTATTATTTATTATTGTTTCCAAAACGTTTCCAAGATGACTGGAGAGAGATCGGTCTATAGGAAGCCAGTTGGCTTTTAGCTTTATTGGGTTTTAATATTGGTATTATTGTGGTGTGCTTGAACTCCAGCGGAATTTTGCCTTTATTCCAGATATTGTTGAAGAAGTCTACAATCACTATTTTTGCGTTGTATGGTAATTGGTCATACATTTCATATGTTAGGGAATCATGACCTGGGGTACTTTATTTTTTCTTTCACAATACTTCATTCATTTCTTTATAACTTATATCAACATTTTCCTCTTTATCGTCATTTTCTTGTTTTTGAAAGAGATGTTGATTAAGTTTTGTAGGATTTTGTTTCTTAATTCTAAAAGATGCATCTAGGTTTTCATCACTACTAACAAATTGATAATGTTTTCCCAGCGTCTCAGCTGTGTCTGTGTTTGAAGTAAGTTCTTTTTCATCAAGTGATTTCAGAGGACAAGTGCATTTGCGCTTTATATTTGTTCCATCAATTGCACGTATAGTTCTCCACACTTGTGAAATTTTTGTATCAATATTCATAGATTTACAGCAGTTTTTCCACGCTTGTTCCCTGAAGTTTTTTATGGTACTGATTGCTAGATTTCTGGCCTCTCTGTATTTTTAAAGAGTTGTCTCTGTTTTATGTTTTTGATACTCCTTGAGGGCCTTCATTCTGCCTGATTACATTCCTCATTCCACCAATACACTGTATGTTTTGCTTTTTTTGGCAATGTTTTTGGGGTCTTGTTTTCATTATTAGGTATTGTTTGTTTGACTATTTCGGTTACTTTTTGAACTATATTATCATGGTATACGTCTATATTGTCATTTTTTAGTTCTTCCCATTCCTCCCAGTTTGCCTTTTTTGTTTTAAAAATAAGCTTTTTGTTCGGGCAATAGGATGTCTTCTTCTTTTCTTGCCAGCTGGTTGTTATCGGGATGTGATCACTTCCCATAGCATCCCCCATTTCGTTTCAATTAACTTCCTCAAAGAGTTAACCAGGCTCTCTAATGTTATAAGCAACTTTGTACTGACTGGGCAATAGACTTCTCTTTCGATACGGGGGACACGGCTACACGATTACCGTATGGCTTTCACTTTGGGTCAAGTGTCTCGGTGGGTAGGTGTTTGATGATCTGATTGTGTATGTCATGCGGACTCGGGGTTGTATTGCCCAGGTCCGAGATGCAGGATGTTAATTCGTCTTGTATAGTGGAAAGTCTACGTTGTGGGTTTCTGTATTGCTCGATTTGAAGTTTAGGTGTGTTGTTTTCTTTTGGTTTAGATGTCTTGGAAAGGTGTGTTGTAGCTGGATTTTTGTGAATTTAAAAAAAAAGAGATGTAGCTGTGGTGTTTGCAATATGCATCTGTTTTTGTTTGTTTTTACAGTGTTTTACGGCGCTCTCAACTGACTGCATAAGGTCATATGCGTGTACGGGACACATTAAACATTTTAGTTTTGGAAGGAATTGATTTTGAATTTTGCTCGGGTCGCGGCGAAGCCTACTCTGATCGATTTTGGACCGTCAAGGAATCTTTACCGTGTGCAACTTGCACACGGGACCTCCGACTCCGAGATTTTTTGCCCGTATCCGAAAAGGTTAGGTGTTAGATCTGACCTACCATAAGACCATAGGTGTTGCTGAAAGACAGCAATAAGAAGGAGGAAAGGAGTAGCAGTAGAAAGGCTGCAGAGAATGAGTCAGGAGCCCAGCGAAGGAGGCAAAGGAGGTGAGGGGGTGGGGGACAGAAAGTGGAGACGAAAGCAGACGACAAAGCATTTAAAGAGAGCAGGAAAGAAGGTTAAAGGAGACAAACTTAGAGAAAATATTTTCCGACGTTATCTGGATTCGAACCCGGGACCTATTGAATGAGAGGCGAACACAGTAATCTCTCGACCACGAGAGCCCCCAGCCGATCTGTGTTTCTGCGGTTTTGCCATCCGGCCTACCTGCGTGCAGGATGGAGTCTGTGAGCCTACCTAAAATGTTTACAATTATTTTATAAATATCTACTCTGATGACTGGTTTATGACTGGTGTCTGACTGTTTATTTGGATACGTTTTTAAAAAAATCAAAGATTGTCATTACCTGTTCTTGCAGCATTGTCGTACCTCAGCTCTAGCTCTTAATTTAGTTTTGTTTTCTGTAGTAATGGTGTCGACGGCTCGTCGATACAGTGCTGTCTTTTTCCTTACGGCATCATCACCCTCCCCATGGAACCTTGTTCGTCTTGGGTTTGGGAAATATTGCAGCATATTTCTAGAACCGTTTCGTGAAATCTATTGTGGTTGAGGCCGACATTAGGGATCATAATCTGGAAATATTGAACAGCGAACGAGCTCCAAATTCTTTTTAAAAAAAGTTAAAGCGTTCTAAGTCGGGTCGTTCTGGGGGTTTCTTTTTTTTTCGGAAGTATAGAGTGATCTCTCAGTCGTTACAAATAGACATACATATAAAATAAATGGATTATATCTAACAATAAGAGTATGAAAGACAGACATAACAACCTAAGGTACTAAAAATTTGCTTTACAAAAAATAGAAAGCTATTTCAAGCATTTCAGATCAGTGCTAGACTTAAAGAGAGTCTGCTACGTACAAGCTGCTGATTGTAATAAGGCAGACAAAGTTGGTAAAACAATGGTCTGGATAATATCCAACACTGAGAGTGAAAGAAGCAATATTACAACTTACGAAAGAAATTTTGTAATGAAAATGGAAAGTTGTTTCCAATATCTGAGATGACAACTAGGCTTGGCTAGGGCATACAATTCACACATTACTTGTAAAATTGTAGACCAAGGTAGTAAAACTATTATCTGTCGGTCGTTAAAATTAGATATAAATACATTTGAAAATGGATTATATCCAATACTGAGAGTGTAAGAACCATCGAACTCATCCTTGGTTCAGTCTTACTGCTGTCTTTCTACCACACCCGTGATCTTAGGGTAGGTAAGGTAAGATCTACCATCGAGCCTTCTCGGATAAGGGCAAAACATCTCGGAGGCAAATTGCGCACGTTAAAGATCCCTTGGTGGTTCAAAATGGATAAGTGTAGGCGTCAGCCGCCACTCGGGCAAAATTCAAAATTAATTCTACGAAACTGAAAATGCTTAATGTGTCCCGCACGCTCATATTATGACCTTATGAGATTGCGAGCGCCGTAAAACATTTACCAAAACAAAAATCTTTCTGCTGCAGAGATACTTGGTCCATTTCAGGGTTGTTGCTGTTGTTGCTGTAGTTATTGTTGTCGTAGTTGTTTTTGTTATTGTTGTTGTTTTTGTTGTTGTTATTGTTGTTGCTGTTGTTATTGTTGTCGTAGTTGTCGTTGTTATTGTTGTTGTTGTTGTTGTTGTTGTTATTGTAGTTGTTGCTATTGTTGTAGTATTTATTCTTGTCGATATTACAGTGGTTGTTGTTGTTGCTGTTGTTATTGTTGTCGTAGTTGTTGTTATTATTATTATTATTATTATTGTTGTTGTTGTTGTTATTGTAGTTGTTACTATTGTTGTAGTATTTATTCTTGTCGGTATTACAGTTGTTATATTGTTGTTTTTGTCATTTGTGCTGCTGTTGTTATTACAGCTACAGTACCGTAACAGTTTTGTCGCTACTGTTATTGTTGTTGTTTTCGTTGTTGTTGTTACTGTTGTTGTAATTGTTGTTGTTGCTATTGTTATTTTTGTGGCTGTTTTAGTCGTTGCTGGTGTTTTTTTTTTTGCAGGCGTAATGTCGTTACTGTCGTTATTATTATTGTTGTTGTTGTTGTTGTTGTTGTTGTTGTTGTTGTTGCTGCTGCTGCAGTTGTGTTATCTTAATTATTGCTTTTCTTATTGTTGCTACTGCTGCTGGTGTTGTCGTTTTTACATGTATAAATAATCATGCGTTTTTTCCCCTGTTCCTGTCGCAGGTTGTACCGTGAGATAAGGTCGACATTTCTATTTTTATTTTCATATTCTATGGGGTCTCGGTCAAAAGTTGGGTCTAGGTATCTTATGTTATTGCTACATGCCAGTCTTGTTCTAACATTGTTCCGGGTCTGGAGCGGGCAGAAGATAAAGCCGTGGCGGGGAAAATACGTTTATATCCAAGGATTTCACTTCCTTGTTGTAACCTCCTTATAGAGCACATCTTTCGTCGGGTTTTATTGAGCTGTTGACACCAGGAAGGAAGGCAGTGATTTTTTTCAAGGTGATTTCTTCTTTTTTTTTTTTTTATTGTTTCTCTTTTACCATACAAAATTTTGTTAATAGCCCTTGCGTCTTTATTGAGGAAGATTGGGTCAGTTCTTTTCAGTTTTTACAGTTACGTCTATGGGTGCCGACAAAAGGAGTAAATTCTCGGATTTTAGGCCTGTGAACTCTGGAAGATACAATTTATCAAAAGAGATGATAAAGATATGTTCAATTTGAAGGAAATAGCACCAGTTTCAGCCTGCCCACGCTGAAATGGACCCTTATGAAGAGGGGCGAGGAAGCATGGAGCACCCCCTCTTTCTAAAACCTCAGTTCTACATTCAATATTCACGTATTCAAGCACCAGTTTAAAATCTACAATTTAGATGTGTCTATTTTCGGGCGACATGTACGGTTGCGAGAAATGACTCATTTTGTCAACACGCCTCGCTTGTGAAAAAACTAGTTTAGTTTTTTTAGGCTGGGAGCAGCCTTAGAGAGTTGTTTTCCAAGGATTTTACTTTTTTGATGTAATCTCAGTAGATTGCACAGCTTTCTTCTGGTTTCCTTTAATAAATTGTTGAAGCAAGGAAGGGAGGAGATAATTTTTTCCAAAGTGATTTCTTTATATATATATATATATATATATATATATATATATATATATATATATATATATATATATATATATATATATAAATACAATGAAAGCCATTAAGAATGCAACGTTTTTAAAAGGCCACAAGAAAGCCAAATATGTTATGATTGCCACGTTTTTTGGAAAAAGAGGTGAGTAATTGTTGATTTACACGCCCATGCATGATTTCCGTTATTTCCACAAGTACTTGTACTTTTCATCCCTGCACAGCGATTCGTTCTTTGGTAAAATGTGTTATTGAGATGCAGCATTACTCCTGAAAAGAATTCAATTCACTTAGCAGATGATAAGTGGCTCTTTCCAAATAAAAGTCTTTACCTTGTTGCGATCAGTTTTAATTTTTCTTCCATTACAAGACTCCTCAACTTAGTGAAACTGACACATATATACGCTTTTTAACATTTTTAACTTCGCACGTCATATTAAAGGCAGTATATTGATTAATACTTATCGAATCTGTCAGAAAATTTCAGGTAAGACAGTTCATTCATTTTGCAGCAAGGGAAACACGTGGAATGCAAAATTAAGAATATTTTTAAACTTCTATTTTGAACTTATAGTTGTCAGGGGTCTAAATGAAAAGTGACAACTTTCAGTAACGTGTAATATCTGGCGTTGTCATTATTGTCATATTATCTTCACCTCGTCAATGTATACACGGGATGAATCGAGGAATTATCTTTTGGGGGGATAACATTCCACTCTTGAATTAATGTTCGTTTTAACTGATAGAGGGTACAGGGTTGGTAGGGTCCTGCACGAATGCTAAAATGTCCCACAAGTGCTCAACTGGATTGAAATTTGGTGAACGTGCTGTTCATGGGTGCGAGAGAGGAATGTTGATAGTTTTGAGAAATTGATTTGTCACTGCAGCCTTATGCGCAGGTGAATTATCATGCACGAACAATTGTCCTCCGGCTTAATTTTGACAGAAAAGTACGTTGGGCTCGAGAACTTGGCTTATTTAGTCTTGGCCATCACACGGGACGCTGTGCCCTGTGAAGTCTCTGCTGGATCTCATGGGGCTGCAGTTTTTATACGACAAACTAGGCCCCTAGCACGAAGGTTCCCATCTTTCAAACGAAGACTGTCATTCTAAATCTTTTCGACCCATCTTGGGTCTTTTCTAACCGGGTGAAATTGATTTCTCAAGCGTTGCGTTAGAATAAATGCATCCACCCTCCTTTTTGTCTTTCTGTGTCCTACTCACTTGGGTCTGTCCTTTTGGAATCCTATCGTTGCCATGGGATCCTTAGAGGCGTACACAGTGTGTCTGCTCACACTAAACCTAAACCGGAGCGGAGTGCCCACCTGAAGCTTTTCAATGATGTGATTTCTTTCTGATTCACTCAGCCGAAGCATGGCGAATCAATAAAGAGAAGCCACTTTTTAATGTAGCTAACTAAACATTTGGAAGGAGTCCAACTTTTCGTTTGTAGTTTTTGTTTTCAAAGTTACCGCCACATTTTCACAGTATTTGACAAAATAATGAATGATATTGTCAGAAAATATGATAGATTTTTGCACCCTCGTGAGTACAGTTCACGAACGACAATGAGTTTGTGTGACAATGTGTAAAAATTTCAAAGTAATCGGATTTGTAATTTTTGAGTTACACGCTCTTGAAATGTGTAAAGTTAAAATGTTAAAGAGTATTATTATAATATTATATATATGTATATAATTAATATATATAATATATATATATATATATAACGAGAGCCCTCCCCCTAGACCACGAGAGCCCCCCCCCCCCGGACAAGGTTTAACGTGAAAAAATTGAGTTCTAAACTACGTCGGGTCTCTGGTACCTGTTGTATTATACTTAATATACCTTTCTCTGTTACATGCACAACAAGTATGTTCGATCCACAAATCCAAATGATACTGTATTACATTTCTACACAGACCAGGTTGGCCCCCTAAATTATCTTAATTGTTTTGATAGGGGGTTGTAAACATATATGTAGGAAATGAGTAGCCCAAGCAAAAGTAAAAGTTTTCCTCCTGCCATTTTTCGCTTTGGTAGAAGTTTTATGGGGCTCGCAAATATACGGCATTTGAGCACGCGGGATACACAAGTTGGTTGTTTTCACGTTAAGTAATTTCAGATTTGGTAAATATTAATTTTGAATTTTGCCCAGGTGGCGTCCGAAGCCAACTCTTATTGAAATTAGGACCACCAAAAGATATTTAACGTGTACATGTACAACTTGCACACGGATCCTCCGAGATTTTTTTCGCCCTGATCCGAAGGGTAGAAGCTCGATCTTACTTACCAGCTGTGTGGCTGAAAGGTAGCGACAAGAAGGAGCCCGGAGCCAAGAGGAAGTGGGAAATAGGGGGAAGGGAGGAGGGCAGAAAATGGAGATGAAAGCAAATAAAAAAACACGACAAGAGAGCAGGAGAAGGGGTGAAAGAAGAAAACTTTAGAAAAGACAACTTTTTTTTTGGTCACTGGCAGGGAAAGTAGCACACCGTTCCCTGTTCAAGCAGTCATCCATGCTAAAGGTGGACACACAAAGTACCAATTGATATCAAAACTGTAGCACAGCAGCTTACTATAAACATATTTAAACCATTAAAGCTTACATAAAAAAAATAACTTAACAATATGTTCATTTTATTGCTAAGATGTAAAAAGTATTGGGTGGTCGTAAACTTTTGGCCACGACTGTAATTTTGTAAATAAGCATTATACGGGGTGCCCACTACGGCTGGGATCGGCCGATCGGGCCGATCGCCCGACTCGATCACATCAAAAACAAACGTGTTTGTTTTCAGTTTCAGGCGATCGAGTCGGGCGATCGGCCCGATCCAGCCGTCGTGGGCACCCTGTATAACATCGAGCAGTATACTAGTAGACTTTGTTAATTTTGACACGCTGAGTTAAAAAAATATATATCGGTGGTCACTTTTCTCCTCGACAACCGGAAGCCGTCTTAGGCAATGTCGAGTGCACTTTAAAAAAACTGTTTACAAGCAACAGACATAACACTTCCGAGACGGAAGGAGAGGAAAATGTCTGTGTCCCCACACATTATGACTCCCTTGTTTTGATTGTAAAATGTGTTACGACTTCATCAATTCAAATCAGATCATTTAAGGGGCAGGCTACTTCGACCTCACCCGTCACGCAACCTGGAGTACAGATACATTTAAACAGCCCCCCCCCCTCCCTCTCCACGCAAAGCACCATTTTCCCCAATGTTTCCCTGCTAAAAAAGAAAGTTCCCAATACACTGGTACCATAATTTCCTTCCGATTTCACGCCCGTTGCTCGAATGTCTTGTGAGAAATGAAACAGTGAACACTGCATCGTGAACACCCAACGCAACAAACATAGCGGTCAGAGCAATGTCTCTATCAAAATATATAACAATACCAATGTGCTTCGCCGTTTTTAAAAATACACATGTACAGTATTTTCAGTTTTTACAATTTTACTGGAAATACACCCCCCCCTTCCCAAAATGCTACTGTTACCAAGAAAACCAACTCTTTGCAAACGTCCCAAGTAAATATTTTAAAGAATACAATTTTGATAACTTCCTTATTATCTGTAAAGCAAATGTTGTTTTATTTTTAACAGCATTCAGTTTTATTGGCTTTCCTATAAAATTGTAAAATAAAAACTGCATGTACTGTGTTTTTAAAAATGACGAGAATGTGGAAGTTGAGGCTTCACTGACTGTTTTAGGCTTGGCGCGCATAGTGCAACTTTAGCTGCACCTTTTTTTATTATTAAAAAAAATAAATTTTTTTGGTAAGTGTTTTGCGGCGCTCACAACTGCATAAGGTCATATGAGCGCGCGGAACACACCTAATACTTTTAGTTGGTAGGAAATTTTGAATTTTGCCCGGATGGCGGCCAAAGCCTACTCTTATCGATTTTAGACCACCAAGGGATCTTTAACGTGCGCAACTTGCACACGGGCCCTCCGGGATTTTTCGCCCTTGTCCGAATAGGCTAGGTGTAGATCTTTCCTACCAGAAGATCAGGGGTGTGGCAGACAGACAGCTGGAAGAAGGAGTCAAGGGGTAGTAGTAGAAAGGCTGCAGAAAGAGTCAGGAGCCCAGAGGATGGAGCAAAGGAGGTGAGGGGGTGGGGGCAGAAAGCAGACGAAAGAATATTGCTAGAGAGCAGGAAAGGAGGTAAAAGGAGACCATTTTAGAGAATAAAATTTTTCGGTCGCTACCCTGATTCGAACCCGGGACCTTTGAATGAGAGGCCAACACCTTAACATATAGGCCAGGAGAGCCCCCACAAATGTTTTAAGGCAACCACAATGTGGTGTTTATGTCATAGAGAAAGCCTCTCGAGGCCATAATTTAACATCCTGGGCTGTCAGCCGCTTAAACTTTGGAAAGTGCCTTCTTGACCCCCCATAGAGAACGCTGTTACACGAGGCCGTTTATCATCAAGTGTATGAAGCTCTATGCATTCTTCATATTATCACAATAATAGATAGAGAAGGCATTGTAAAAAATCTTATAAAAGTGTCATTCCCGAGATCGGATGTGACATGTGAGCTTGCCGGTAGACCCACTAACAATGCTAAAGTGGTGAGAGACATTTTTACCTCATATTTCGCCCAGAACCCTTTAGTCTATAACAAGATCACTCTGGACAAATTATTACAGAGAGAGAGAGAGAGAGAGAGAGAGAGAGAGAGAGAGAGAGAGAGAGAGAGAGAG